ATTAAAAAGTGAGAGCTATTTTTGCCGTAAGAATTTTATGAACTCTGCATATTTACCACAATGGTAATATGCAGGTTCATCTACATGTTATAGTACGTATCTGGTTGAAATAAATGAAATCAAAAGTGTTAATTCACCAATTTATCATTTCACCAATTCACCGTTTCACCAATTACACCAATTCACCAATTCACCAAAATTTTATTTTGGTGTAATTCTGGTGAAACTATTTCACCATTTCACCTGGTGAAACTATTTCACCATTTCACCTGGTGAAATTAACTCATTTCACCAGCATCTATATGTACAACACAACTTCCTGCATTAAACTTTATTCAGTGTCGATGGATACCAGAAAAAATCAGATGATCGCCACTGGAGTTACGTACTGTAGATATTTTTAGCATTTGCACTTAAAAAAGTCTCGCCTTTCATCTTTAATTTTGTTACATAAATGGCTATTGAATTTTTTAAAAAACTTTCTGGTGATTTAACAAATCTTCTTGAAAATGGTGAAGAATATAATGTAATAATTGAAGTTGGTCAAATGCCAAATCATCAAATATTTAAGGCACATTCAATTATTTTGAATTCACGATGCTTTTATCTGCGTGAAGAGTTGATTAAAACAAGTTATGATGAAAATAATGTTAAAAAACTTAGTAAACCACATATTTCCGTTATTATTTTTGAAATGATTATGAAGTAAACTATATTGATATTGTTATAAACTATATTTAATAATAATCATTAAATATGATTTTTAAGCGTTTTTTCCTTAAATTATCTAGATACATTTATGGCGGTATAGTTCTGTTAGATGAAGTCGATGCGTCTACAATCCTTACTCTTTTAGTTACTGCTAAAGAATTTGGTCTCGAAGAATTAATTAGTACTACGCAAACACAACTTGTTGAGAATCATGCGTCGTGGATACGTTTAAATTTTGCTAAAGTTTATAAAATAAGTCTGGAAAGTGACGATTTTAAACTTTTACATCAGTTCTGTAATGATATTATTGCCAAATACCCAAATATTATTTTTGATTCAAAAGATTTTGTGAATCTTCCTGAAAGTGCCTTGGTCTCCCTTCTGAAACTTGACAACTTGAAGATGGATGAAATAAAAATTTGGGATCAGATTATTAGTTGGGGAATCGCTCAAAACCCTGACTTACATTCTAATCCTGCGCAATGGTCTAATGCAGAATTTTTAACTTTAAAATCTATACTTAAAAATTGTCTACCTTATGTCCGATATTTTCAAATTTCTGCTGAAGATGTTATGGATAAGTTATATCCATATCAACAAATTTTTGAACCTAATTTGTGGAAAGATATTATGACGAAATTGACAATACCAGATAGAGTTATTACTTCGACTATTTTACCTCCTCGTGTAATATTAGATCCCGTATTGCCACCAAGAAATGCTGCAAATTCAAGTAGTGACGATACTTCCACTACATCTTCAAGGGAAAACAATTCGATTGCAAATTCAAGTGGTAACATAATTTATTTATAATAATTCACTATTATTGATTTGTACAAGAAAATTTTATAAAATATCCAACAAAAATTATATGTACTTCAAAAAATATCGCGTAAATTTACTTTAGTAAATTTACAAAACATATATAAACCTATTTTATAAAATATTTCAGATAATCAATAAATTTTATTATGATATACTTAGTTAATCTATTTTGCATACCCCTCTAGGTTGTAAGTCTTTGAATAATGATTTTTTAATCATATTTATCGGTTAATTTATTAATTTGACTATTAATTGCAGACTGTAAGTTATTATTTTGAAGTTTATTCATAATTCTCATTAATTTAAACTTTCGATATCATATATAGCTGAACAAAGTCAATTGGTATTTATATTGTCATTATCACACAAATAAATACATAATTTGAGAAAAATGATTACTCTTTAATAACAATCTTTTAATATTTTAAGCCCTTTACCTGGGTAAAAGCTAGTGGTGGAAAAATTCCTGATCATGCGTATTATGTCAACGGAAAAGCACTTGGACGTGGTGACCTTAATGATAAATGGTTTCATAATATGCATACTAAAGGCGTACATCCTGGATATGTTGATGAAAAAGGTTTGATTATAGAATATGGTACTAAAAAAATACTATTACCAGAGTATGAAGTATTAGTTATTGTCGCTTTGGAGTGGGTTCATATGTAAGTTCGTATTTAATACTCATTACAACTTTTAATTCTAAAGACTTATTCAAAATAAATTTTTTTTTTTTAATAGAACACGAACATCCGAATTATCTACTATTACACCCTTTATTGTTGGTGTTGAAAAGGTAAGTTCGTTAGACATTTTTATATTGTTTAAGTTAAAAACTTTATAATTAATTAATTTTTATGATTATTAAGGAAAACCGATGTTTTTTATATTTTGCTAGAAAAGATAATAAAATTGGTAAAGCAGGAAAGGTATAATTTTTTAAATATTTTCCAATTTAATATTTTTTTAAAAATTTTTTTTAATTTTAATATTTAATATTTTTTTTAAATTTTTTTTTAATTTTAATTTTATATATTAGCATTTATCAGATTTTTGTTTTGTTGATGGATATGAAAAACACAACTGTGAAATACTAGTTTATAAAAAAAAACCATTGGAGAATTGATTTAAATATTGTGATTTCTTTTAGCACTAAATCAAATTAAACAGTATTTTAAATATTTAATATTATAAATATGTGTTTAAATTTTTATTTAGACCATATAAAGTTAATTGTTTCCATAAAACATAAATTTTAAAGTGATCAATCAGTCATGCCGGCTTTTAATTTTTAATTACAAAATTTTTGTTTTTTTTTTTATCTAGAAAAATATTAAAAACATAAAAAAGTTTTTTCAAAGCTCACCCGGAAGTATTTACAATAAATAACATAAATATTTGGATTGAAACTTTACAAAAGCCGACTGGCCGGGTTATGAGAAGAATCAATTAATTTTATGTGGCCTTATATATGTTGTTAAGGTTTTTCTTAGGTATACAAGCGTTAGAGTTTTTTTTTTAACACATTTTATAATAATATATGTTGTTCTTGTTGCTACAACTAATAATGATAATCGCTAAATTATACTTAAATTCAATAGAAGAAAGTTGCGGTTAAGTAATTTGAAAAAAATGAATTCATCGTGGTGATAAAGTAGTGGGGGTTTTTTTTTTTTTGTAATATACCAAATCCTACATATATGTGAATGTGTATATATCGAATTAGAATTATATTCCAGTAAATTTAGTTGTTATTTACTAATTTTAGCTAGTCGCGGTATCTATTAATCAGTGAGGAAAATTACGTGATCTTAACATTAATGTCATTCGCAAACATTATTAATTAAGAATTCCACATTATAAGATTATCTAGCGTGTTCTATAATTAAATGGATGGGGATTACATAGGCGCCCGATTTTTTTACTATGTTCTCCGTGAAGAATTCCCAATAACCGATTATCTTTATCAAAACTGGAGAACCCGAGAACCTATATTGTAAATTAATAGTAAATAAAGTTAATTGCAAAATCTTACTCAAATAACTATTGACTTACCAAATGGTCCGTTGGTACCAAATACTGTAAACCAGAAATTTTTCTGGAGGATTGAAGGCCTTAGAACCCATTGATCCTTCGTTTTTCCTTCCTTAATAAGTGTATCTCTGCCGACCATTTTAACATATGGCTAATTTTTGTAGATCGGACCCCCAAAATTGGGTTAATTCTGGTCAAATTTGCAGATCATTTGGCCCTTGGGGATAAGTTTTAACTCACGGGACGGTTCGGATAAGGTTTTTAAAAAACCCGACCCGAACCGAAAAAACCGGGTCAGAACCGAAACCGAAAAAAACAGGATCCGACCCGAAACCCAATTCAGCCAATCAACGTGCGTCATTTTATTTCGGATCGGGTTTAAAATCATAGACCGGACCCGAACCGTGACCAGGTTCTGGTCGGTTCCGGGTCTTCGGTTCGGGTCTGCGGAACACAAGTTTTAAAACATCTCCAAGAGTCAGATGATCAGCAAATTTGACCAGAATTAACGTTAAATTAATTTTTGGGGTCCGATCTACATAAATCGCCCATATATTATATTTGGATCATTGCTTATAAAGGTCCTTTAACTATTTTCTACAGGGGGATCCCCAGATTTCCGGGTCGGAATGGCCGGAATGCGTCGTGGTTAGGGTCGGGGTTAGGGCTGAGTTAGGGTTAGCGGGAGCTATAGGCTATAGTAAAATTATCAGCTGGGCACTTTTCACTTAATGAACGACTATTGTTTCATTAGTAAAATTCTTAGTGATCTTGGGGCAAAATTGATCAACTCCGGCCCTTCCGGCAAGAGTTCCGAAGCGTCCGACCCGGAATTTTGGGGATCTCCCTGTAGGAGTTCCTGAAACTGGAAACAATTATTTCATTTCCTATATTTATCTGGATTTTCCAGCATGATATTATTATTGCTAATCCTGCAAAAGGCATAATCGAGAAGGCGTTTATTATTATCAGTACTCAAGAAACAATATAGTACCTTGTAACCATGGCACAGCCCTTAGAAGAAATTTTTATCAAAAGAGGGAATATCAATAAGGTAAACTCAATCTTTCATTAAATACTTAAATCATCTAATTTGCTTGGAGAGCTTAAATATTACCACCAGCTATTGATTCTGTTTGAACTAATAGGTCTAACGTACATGTTTTCTAAACATCTAATGCTGAAATTTAAATATGCAAGCTGGTCGAAACGATAATAACAATCCAAGGAACTACAGTCGTTTCATACTGTATTCTGGGGAATCAATCAACTGAATTCGGTAAGTTTTGATTTCGGTATATAAAAGCATATCATTGGTGGAATGATTCCATCACGGTGGTTTCTTCTTTATACATTTATATTATTATTCGTAAATTCTTATCATGGATGAATAAAATGATCTTTGACAAGTACTATATTTAATAAAAAAAACATAGTATCTTTAAAAAAAAAAGTTGTATTTAATATGGCATGATTTCGTATCCATCCCCGGGTGCTTATTTTCGGATATAACATATTAATGCGTATAACCAAATCTTAACTTGTTTTACGTGTAATAAGACTACAGTCAAACATCTCTAAAATCACACTTTTAGGATACAAAAATTAGAAGTGTGACAATTATAGAGGTCATATTTAATAAGAGTTTGTTTTTTAAAAAATATATGTATAAAGAAAATGTGAGGTGACCTTAGAGAGGTTACTCACTTTTGTGGTGCATATTTTGGATTATACGATAAGTCTTTATAGGTGGCAACTCAAATGGATCATTTAACGTTGGATAGGCGTGATTAAAGATGAAAAAAGGACATTAAAAAAGCTGTGGAAGATGAAATTCAATTGCACAATATAATTTTTGTGTTGTATTATAAGAATGACAGAAGCAATATAGAGAATGAAAAAAAAGGTAATTGAATATTTAAAGATCAGAAAATGAGTATTATAGTGGACAATATAAATATCACCTAATCAGTAAAGGAGCTATTGAACTAAAATCTCGGAAGACGATTGGGAAATTTTAATGATTCCGAAAAACTTATCTGGAAATAAGTTCATTATTGCGCCTTGCAAATAGGTTATATCAGAATTAGAGATTACAGATTTTAAAAATTTTACTGATATTATTAATATAACTGATCGAAATAAATATGACGGATTAAAAGAAATCAGATTAAATGAAAAGAATGATAGTTGTAAAAATTCAAATTTTTGGGGTGCATTTTTCAACATTTTTTTTTAGGTTAGGGTTTATTTATAATAAACAAGTACTTACGTATGTGGTTTTAGGTCAAATAGAAACCCTCTTTCATTTTCGTATTACTGCATTCATATATGTTGTGTAACACCGAGATCGGATTCGACCGAATAAGTTTTAGCAATTTTTTTAAAACAGCAGTAGTCGATGACAATCAATTAAGATATAAATATCGATGTAAATCAAAATAATGGCTGCAAACGATTGTTAACTATATGGTTGCAAAATCGTCCTGATGTTAAATTCAAATTGTTCCGTGGTTCAACCGCACAATTTAAACATACCACAACCATTTCAATATTATTTATGCTTTGATGTTGAAGCTACATGTGAACAAGGTGGTGGTTTTGATTACAAGAATGAAATCATAGAATTTCCCGCTTTATTAATCGAAAGCGAAACATTCAACGTAGTAAGTGTAATTCGTAATTTTTTTTCTTTTCATGAATACACATTGCGTTCATTCTCATGTCCTTTTATTTATTTATTATTTATTAATAATAATCCTCCTTAAGGTTGATGTATTTCATTCTTATGTCAAGCCAAGTTATAATCCAGTATTATCAAAGTTCTGTATAGACTTGACCGGAATACCACAAGTATGCGATTTTCTTTTGTCAGTTTTTGTTTATAGTTTCTATCATTTACGTTTGTTTATTTCTTATTTTATTAGTCAACTATAGATATTAGCCCGTCATTTCCTGAAATGCTGTGCAGATTTCAAGATTTTTTACTCAGTCATAAAGTATTTACTCTTCTTTATCAAGTTTTTTTTTTGTACTATAGATAAAGAATTATCCATGTTATTTAATACATATAAATTTATTAGCTTTTTAATGATAATAGTTGCGCCTTCTTAACTGATGGTATGCATATATTTTTATTTCTTATCTTAATTAATAAATGATTCATTACAAAATTTATTATTATTTGTATTTAAGGTCCTTGGGATATTCGTGATTTCATCACAAAACAATGCAAGATTTCAAAAATACCCCGACCAAAATATTTCTCCCTTCCATGGGTAGATGCCAGAACTATGTTTGCAAAGTTTTACAATTGTAGACCTCGTAATATTCCCAGTATGTTGGCACATTATGGTCTGAAGTTCGAGGGACATGAACATTCAGGAATTGATGATGCAAAAAATTTAGCAATCATTGCTAAGCGTTTATGGGAAGATGGGGCTGTATTTAGGACTAATCGGAGATTTAGATAGGACTGTTAGAACTATTTATATTTTATAAGAAAACAAGTAAGAAATCTAAATTTTTTTTTTGATTTTAGTTTATATTTTTTTTAATTATTGTAGTTTCTAATTTGGTTTAATATTTACAGTATTGCTTTTCATTTATTATGAACGCACCTATGATGGTTTTACACCAATTAGATTTTATATATTTTTCTAAGTTTTTATAAGTTTTATATAAATTTTTAGCACAAATTTTTCGTAATATTTAGGTTAGAATTAAGGTTTGTGAAGGATTTTTTGGGCGTAAAATATTTTTACTTAGAGCATCGCACATTAATTATTAAGATAATGCAACATAGATGGTAAACCACCTTAGGTGCTTCTTAATAAAAGTGTTACTTTTATTTAATATTTTAAACTGAAATACTAGCTGTTTTTTTTTTTAAAATAAAGTTTAACTATCTTTGTATAGGATAAAAGTATAAGCTTCATATATGTTGTAAGTGGAGGCAGAATTGAAATGGATTCAGAATTCTTTAGTTAAATTAGAATTTTAGGGTAGATTTTATCATATATAAACCTATATCCTAGCCCTATTTTAACTAAGAAATTCCGAATCCACTTAAATCCCGTTTCCACTTGCAACAATATACGTAAATTAGAACAGTATAAAAATTTCTGAAAAGTAAGCAATAACTTAAAGACGATAGATGTTAGTCAGAAAGATACGAAGGCGGGGGGTTTTTTTTTTGAAACAACTCTTCTAATTTTTAAACGAAGATTATAAAATTAGACCAAACTGAAAATAACACCTTCACTTAAAAAAAAAATCATATTTTTTGAACATTTAATTACTTTACATACTGTATATAGTATAGTTACCTAATTCATAATAATTTTCTACCATTCTTAAATATACAATTTTTTTTTAATAACAATATAATCAAAAAAAAAAAAATTATATTTTTATAATTATGATAGAAAAAAAATTTTTTAATGATACGTAGGGATTTTAAAAGTTCGGTTCGGTTCAACTCGACTCCAAAAGTCGACTCGCATTTTCACGTGAAACTTGTATATTTAAATATAACCGAAAAAACGTGTATTCATGCATACCTGCATGCATATACATTCTTTTTTTAGCGCGCTATATTTAAATATACAAGTTGCACGTGAAAAATGCGAAGTCTGACTTGAGAAAATTACCGATGTCCGAATCGATAAGTTACCGAGTCGGAATCAATAATAATAAGTAACCGACTTCAGAAACTTAACAGCCGTAATTACAGCTGTTTTCATAAATTCTGGAAAATCTGGCAAAAACTGACCGACAGAATATCTGCCGGTTCGATAAGTTTTTGATTCGCAGTGATAAACTTCTGATTCTGGTGTGATTAGTGATGCGGTAGAGTCGTCTCAATGAAGTCTCAATGGATTTTTTGATATGAAAAGTTACGGCGTGGCGTAACTTTTTATTAAGCTACAAATTCATTGGGACTTCATTGGGACGATTCTACCGCATCACTAGGTGTGATTACAGTAATCGGTTCAGGTTTCTGATTTCGAATTAAATTTATTTCGAAATCAATGATCCAGATCCATAAATCTTACTTATTTTGATTTGTAAGCTTATTTATATAATAACAATAATAATTAATACTTTTATGATGTTGTTAATAGTATTTTAGAAATACTATTAATTAATATTCTCGAAGAAGAAATCGATGAACTGTTGGAACTATCACAAACAAATTCTTTTCTTTAGTTGTTGGTTTAAAAGTTGTTTTTTTTGGAAGGCATATTATTTTATTAAATATTATTAATTAGAAAATAATTATGTAATATTATTTAAAAAATTTTAAAAAAAAATTTAAACGATAATTTGTATATAGTTTTTTATTAATTTATTACGATAATATCATTTGATAACAATACATTATTCTATTATTTCGTTATAGTGAAAAAAGTAAAAAAAAAAAAAAAAAAAAAAAAAAAAAACTTTTAAAAAAAAAGGCCGCAAACATACAGTACATGAAATAATTGATAAAATGGATCTATCTGTTACTTCAAGCAATAATAACATTATACGTTGGATAATGATATTTTTAATAAAATTTATGTCCGTTAGAGCTATTGAATTGAAGACCCACAAAATTTTGATGGTGGAGTTCAAACAGGAATAATGATGATTTTATCTTTAATTTTCTTGCTTCCGTTTTTTGTCAACAACCTCTTTGACCTTGAGAAAAGAACTCAAAAGATTTCAAATTTTATGAATTCATTATTTATAATTTTATTGGAACTCGAGTTATTTTGCAGTTGTTTTTAATATAAAAAGTCAATAACTCTATATTATTATTATTAATTGGTTACACTATTATATCTGTGAAAGCAAAAATTGTCTTCCTAAAGGTATTTATGATTATTTACTTGTTAATGTTCTACCACCATTGATCCTTGATTTAGAACTTTTCTTCGTTATTGGTTATTATTCTATCTTACCTTTAAACATGTCTAACATTAGTTATTCATGTTTATTAATTTTTGTCAAATTCATTACATACTTTCAATGTTATGTTTTGTATATTTAGGTATTGTATGTCATCGTTGGATGATCATTGTCTTTCTCGGCGTTTATTTGCTTAATTTATCTTTTCTTTAAGGGATCATTAAACAATTGGATATTCAAGTCTATATTAGGTTTTATATCCTCTCAATTTTTATCTAATTCAGTCAAATGTTTTAAACCATATACCAAAACTCCTGAATATCTCCCTTCTTATAGATATATGACATATATGACAGTTGGTATTAGACTTCTTTCTGCATTGTTTATATCTTTATCATTGTTAATTACACATATTTTTTTTCCTTTTGAAATACGGTTGTGGATAACTAGGATTTTACAACCTGCAGAAATATCATTCACCAACTATTCTTTATTGCTTTTTTTACACTTTTTAATTTCATTCTTGACTATAAGAATTCATACTTTGATCATTCTCAAAGAATTACATTTAAAGACAAGCCAAGCTATTATATGTTACATTGGTTAATTTTCTTTATGTTGTCTTTATTCTAATAGTTTTTTCTTGTTGGGATATCTTTAGTAATTATACTGATACAACTATTATTATAATTGATTTTTTACTTATGTTAGTACCTTTATTCGTTCTTTACTATAGATACTACAAAGATTAGAGAAGTACGTAAAGCTGAAGAAAAATTGGATTAACTACATCTTTAGGTCTATTGTTATACTTGTATATTATTCATTTAGCTCATTGGTATATTTTATGATAATTTTTTATTTATAAAATATTTATTGTCTTCCTTTGGCGTTTTCTTATATTTATTAAAGTTATAATTCCACTTGTTTTTTTAATAATTTTTTTTTAATAATAAAATTAAATACAACTTTGTAGTGATACTTCTAGTGGTGCAGACGTATTCAATATGTTACATACACAATAATTACTTCTATTACATAGTATTTTAATACGACTGGAGTTACGACATACGTCAATACTATCAAAAAGTTGCAGCTTCATTACAATCGGTCGTAATTAATTACCAAACACCATTATACTACTGTACTGCTTATAACCTAAAACCTAAAATAATATCATTGCTTTGTTAGCTAGATAGTATGTATTTATAATGTTATTTCTTTTTAGTATTATTACTATATACCATATAATTACTTTTTTTTTTTTTAAATCCCGAGATAGCAATTATCTGGGGACGTCGAATGACGCGATTTACTGTATATTAGTATTTTTTTAACTTTACCAGTTACTGTATATTATCGTCTTAACATACGTTTAACCAGAACGTTTTTGCTTATTTATTTACATGGTGAGATTAACTGGCAAGTTTACTATCGCGTTCTTCTATTATTAAAACAATATATGTCACACAATAATGATCATCAAAACATTGAAACATGATAGAAATTAATGGCACGAAACATCAAGTATCGAAAATGCAATTACACTTAGTGTGCAATATGTACTGTTGTAGCAATAAAAGGGCTTAGTTTTCACGCGCTTTGTCGGAAATTTCGGTTAATTAATATAAAATACGTTCAAAGCCTTGCATATTTACAATCAGTTTAGCTAGACTATTAAGCCATGTTACTTAAAATACTAAACTAAAAGTCAAAACTACTGTATAGACCATAAAATTTATATGTATCTTTACCGATATGATTGTTTCTAAAATTTTCGACATTATATTATTTTACTTCAATTGTGTTTTCGATTTAAGCGACGTGACGCAAGAAAAACAAGTAATCCAGGTTCTTGTTTTTTGAGATTTCAATCTCCGATTGTAAATGGTGCCACCGAATTGGATCACGTAAGATGAAACTCCGAATATTCGAGAATGTAAATTACAAATTGACAAAATATTTTTTTAGGAGTAAACACTTAAAACTCCGCCTGTAACAATCAGATTTCTGAATTTATTATTATTGTCATTTATAAGTGTGATACAACTCAAAAAGGATATGTGAAAATAAAATTTATACACCTTAGATTAGTATTAGAGTATTTTATATGAAATTATGATCTGTTATTGATTTGATCAACTTTTTTGTATTTTGCATTTTTGTTTTTTCATTTTTGCCTCATTTTGTACGTATATATTTTCTTCATATGCATTGGCTATCATTAGACTTGGCATTTTAAACAGAATTCGGATTCAAATCAGCTTTGTTATCGAATCGTTACCGAATTTGCATTCTTGCTATAGGGATGGATTTGTGCCTCAGCTACTTTTAATAAATTGTGCAACCTTTGGATTTTCCATGTGAGTCTTTCACTTTCATAATACCTTATTCGTCGAACTATCCTTAAGCTTTTTTTTTTTACCATAAACGACAACAATGGAACAATAATTTAATTTGCATGTCAGAATTTATATACCGAACGATTTTTATTGTATGACCATGAAATAAGAAAAAGTAATATCGAATTACTGTTTGAATTAAACTTAATTCGGGCCATTATTGCATTATTGAATAATTAGCATACCCTTTATTTGCGGTTAATGAAATTATTTTACTGTGATATAAAATGAATTCTTCCTTCCTACTGTATCAATAAATCATAAAAAAAAAGATGGCAATACCAATAAAATTTTTAGCTGCTGAATGTTAATTAGTGGAGTATGCAATGTAATACTGTATTGAAATATCAAGATATAACGTGTATTAAAAATTGTGAGCGAGATGGATCAGAAAAAAAACATTTTGAACAACCAGTTTGGCGAACTTTAAATATGTTTATTGGTGAAACCCTATGTTTTATTGCTGTTTATGTGATGTTGATATGGGAATTACGTAAAAACAGAGGTTCGATGAATGAACCATCATCAACAAGTAGTTTATTGCAGTAAATAGTAGAAATAATAACGATATTATAGAATTTAATGAATCTATTGCAACCACCACTATTGAATCACAACCCACCCATCGTTCATACAGCCAGGCACTTCGTGACAAGTTTCCTAAAGTAATCTCCAGCCAACCCTCCGACCCATCACTACTTTGGAGCCAAGCAGTATCTTATGCACTATCACAAAGGCACAAGCATTTTAACCCTATCACATGGATTATATTCGACGCATTTATAGACCAAGAAAAGCTTCTTTACTTCCTTAAATACAAATTCATATCTCAACCTACCTTATACAACCTACCTGTTGCAATTGATGCAAAATTCAACTACTTCAACACAGCCTTTTTTAAATCATTTACCTGTGACAAACAAACCACTTCCCAACATCAGAAAGAATTTAACTCCCTATTCAATATGGCACTAGAAAAATATAAGAGACAACATGAGACCCACTTTGTTAATAAATATAACAGAAATCAAATTCTAAAAAGACTCAAAGCCAAATTGGCCATCAATTATATCACAAATTTTGATTTCCTAAAATTCAACCCACATGATATTACTCAAAAAATTTTCTATTGCAAAAACTTTGACCAAATTAATCACTCACTCAATTTTGAAAGTACTTGAAAATTAATTTGTCAAGCTTACTTGGAAACACTCATCTCTCTTCCCAACTCAGTAGAAGAGATACCAAAAAATATTAAATCCATACTATCTTTCGACTTACCAATTGTGAATTGCTTAAATACAAGACCAATTGTCAATACACTTTATAAAATCTACAACTTTTAAACTTTATCTGACCACTTTTTCATCGAACAACCTTTGAAACTTCCTAATAACCTATTTCAACTTGATTTCTCCCTAAGAGATCTATTTCTAATTAAAAACTACTTAGCCCTACCTCACCTGTCAAAATACTAGAAAAACCTAGAAAGACTTTACAAAGTCAAAGAAATTTCAGCCTACTTTGTATTACCCTCACCCAAGCCACTACTATCTTTAACATCTCAACAGCTACTATATAACCTTTGTTATTTCTTCCTTTATAAACCTAACAATAAAGAAGACATTAAAAATTTTGCTAACTTACTCTGACTACATTATAGTTTCAAATATCTACCAAATAATTATATTATTCAAAAACCATGTCTACTGGCTGACCCAATATTTCTTAAAACAAAAATCAATTACACTTATCCCATTTATGATAAAGCTATCACAAAAAACTTCTTTGCAGAAATCAAACACTAATACTTTTTACCCTACTACTCCCTTTGGCATACTCAGTTGTCAATCTAACAAATAAACCAAATCTTCTGAATAATTCTTCTCAAATTGTATAAATAAATATTACAACACCTAAACAATTAGTTAATATTGCATGTGAGTTGAGAACTTACTACTACTTTGCAAGCTAAATTGAAATTCAATAGAAGTTAAATCTAAACAAAAAACAATCTCTTCCTGTAAACATTAAAGAACTTACTTCTCTATTATTAAATATCAACTCCTTTTACTTACTATATACTTATTCAAGACTGCTTATCTGTATCAGATATCTTGAATAAATTAAAAATACACTTTTATTTAACTTTATCTACTTTAGCTCCCAGACCTACCAGACTCTAAATAGCAAATTTTTAATAACTACACTTCAATTAATCTATACATATCTCTTTACTCTATACTAAAATTAAAACTAGGGATGTTATTCGGTCTGGTCTTGGACCAATAGACTGCAGTTCATCATAAAACTAGTCTGAACCTATAAGAAGCTAATTCTATTCAGTCTAATCTCAGTCTTAAAGTAGTTCAAACTGTAGTCTTAAGTTAGTTTTAAGACTAACCACAAACTATGACTTAGAGACTAGTTTAAAAACTGGCTTAAAAACTGGTCTAAAGATTAGTTCAAAGATCGGTTTAAAGATTAGTTCAAAGATCAGTCTAAATATTGGTCTAAAAACTGATCTAAAGATTGGTCTAAAGATCAATCCAAATATTGGTCTAAAGACCAATCTAAAGATTGGTCTAAAGATTAATCCAAAGATTGGTCTAAAGACCAATCTAAAGATTGGTCTAAAGATTGATAGTCTAAAGGCTAATTTAAAAATTGATCTAAAAACTGGTCTAAAGACTAATATAAAGACTAGTTTAAAGATTGATCTAAAGACTAGTCTAAACACCTATCTAAAAACTAATCAAAGACTGATCTAAAGACCAATATAATGACTGACCTAAAAACCAATCTAAAGATTAGTCTTAATGATCAATCTAAAAACTGGTCTAAAGACTGGTCTAAAATCTGAATTAATAGCTAAAGCTTAGAAATACAATTTTTGGTCAATACTTTTAAAGCAAGTGATATAACTGTCTTTTTGACAGTATAAAGGTTTTTGACCAGGATTTGAGATTTTGTCAAAATAAAATATTTAAAACTTTATATAATAAAAATTTGTAACAAGGTTTTTTTTAAAAACAAAGTCGTCTAAATAACTTTTTTAATAAGATTAACTAGCATGCTTTTAGCATGATGGATATTTTTTTAATGAATCTAAAAAGTAGATGTAAATATATTAAATATAAAGTTTTGCTAGTCTTATAGTATTGCATTATGCTATACAATATTATACAGAAACAACTAGACCATTTGCCTTAAATAAAGATTAACTCAGTAGAGTTTTAGCTTCGAAATCATTATAGTAAAAGTTGTTCCTTAAAAAACATTGCTTTCTTTGACCCAATTATTCATAATAAGAGTATTGGATAAAACCTTTTTCGTCATCTTATTACCTTGTTAAAGCTAGATTCGTTCATAAAATTTAGTTAAAGTTAAAGTTTAACTCTTTAAAATTTGAATAGAATTGTCAACTCTAAATAGTTATACTCTTGATCTTAAGTTTCAAACTTAATAAACCCTTGGTTATGCTTATAATATTCCATCTTAGTATTGAAATTATTATTGTTTTTAAGAGAAAAAAGAAAAGTAGAGAAACTTTACTGCATTATCTTAAATTTATATTTGACAATACTGTTGTCATCACTATTAAATCAAACAATAAAACCAATCATCAAAATTACCCATGATATATGAATCTCATGACATCACTGATAAAATTGAAGATCTGATCTGATATCTCTTACCTGTGACGTAGGTTTGAGGATCTTTGATTAAATAATCAGTCAATGATCTCTGCCATTATACCTTATGATGTAACAAGTAATCATTATTAAGAATCTTAATAATCGAACTTAAATACTAAACTCCTGATTGCTACAGCTATACTTATTGCATCACACATGATCCAGAAAAATCAAAATATTCTAAATCAAAAAATTAGAAGTATTAGAGTTAGAACTCTTGATACTATCGAAGTAACTTAATAATTATAAAACAAAGAAAACTTATCTAAAGCTCAGAGAGAATATATAAGGCCCAAAGAACTTTAAAACTCAAACCAAGTTTTTTCACGCCTCTTCTTAAGGTTTTAGGAGCCTTTAAACCAAAGAGTAGTTTAGTTCTTAGTTTAGTTTAATAGTTTAGTTAGTTTTAGTTTAGAGTTAGCAATATGACCTTCTTAACATACTTATCTAATTTTTTTTATAAAAAAAATTGTAAGATCTTAACTCTTATACATAAATAATAAGAAATTCAACTTACTAATTAATACATATTTAATTTGTTTACTAATCAAATGTGGCAGCTTATACTGAGATTGACTTATGCTAAGAATTTAAGTAATTTTATTATAAAATTATAAAATTTTATAGGGCTTTTTCAGAGATGTTTGTTTATATAGTTTGGTTAGAGTTTAGAGTTAGATTTATTAATAAAAGTGTATTTGTGGATTTTAGTAAGTATTATAGATTTAAATAGAGACCCTGGATTTCAGCATAAGCCAATCTCAGCATAAGCCGCCACATCAAATATACCATAATTTGCGGCAAATAGTACCCCCTTGTTAGTGTACCCCCATGATTTGTACCCAGGATTAATCAAGTATTTGTCGTAAACATGATTGTAAAAGACCCGGGTATATCTAGCAATTTATATAGTGTATGACTTCTTTTATGTCTTTTTTTCAATTTCGTTATAATTCTATTAAATGATTGGTCAATTGAAGTATTCTTCTTATATAAACTCCCCCACATAAAATACCCT